ATGATTCTGTCTCTGTTCTTCTTGTTTGCTTAGTTTGTTTTTTTAGATTCAATTGTTGTTAGATATGTATTCTTGTCATTTTATTGTTCATAATTTTGATCTTCCTTTTCTTTTAAAGATTTTATTTATTTATCTTTAGAGGGGGGAAGGGAGGGAGAAAGAGAGGGAGAGAAACATCAATGTGTGGTTGCCTTTCACGTGGCCCCTCCTGGGGACCTGGCTGGCAACCCAGCCATGTGCCCTGACTGGGAATCTAACTGGCGACCCTTTGGTTTGCAAGCTGGCACTCAGCCCACTGAACCTCACCAGCCAGGGCTGATCTTCTTTTTCTTAGATAAGTCCCTTTAATATTTCATATAATAAGGGTTTGGTGATGATGAACTCCTTTAGTGTTTTCTTGTCTGGGAAGCTCTTTATCTTCCCTTCAACTCTAAATGATAACCTTGCTGGCTCGAGCAATCTTGGCTATAGGTCCCTGCTTTTCATGACTTTGACTATTTCTTGTCCCTCAGTTCTTGGATATTCTGTTTTTTTTTTTTTAAATTACTTTTCTGTTTTGGAAGTTTCTATTAACATATACCTAAGCTCAGAGGTTCCTTCTCAACTGTGTCCAGCTTTTTAATAAGCCCATCAAAGGCCTTCATTTCTGTTACAGTGTTTTTGATCTCAAGCATTTTTTCTTTGATTCTTTCTTAGAATTCCATCTTTCTGCTAGCATCGCATATTGTTCTAGTAAGTTGTTTACGTTCCCATTAGAGCCCTTTGCCTATTAATCACAGTTATTTTACATTTCTGGTCTGACACTTTCAACAGCATCCTGGCCCCATCTGAGTCTGATTCAGAGGTTTGCTCTGTCTCCTCAAACTGTGTTTTTGGCCTTTTAACACGCCTCGGAATTTTGTCGTGAAAGGCTGACTTAATAATGTACCTTTAGTAATGGGGCGGTTAGGTGTGTGTTGGGAGAGTGCTCATAGTCCTTTGATTAGGTGTCTACTAGGCCTGTGCCCTTGGGATGTGAACCTCACAAGTGCTTCTCCGGTTTTTCTCTTTGTTCCCATCCCCTTAAGTGGAACCAGATGGCTAGCGGGCCTGGAGTTGGGTCTTCCCCGCCTCGGTGTGTGGCTAGAGCCAGCTGGGGCTGGGTAGTTCGCTCCCCCCAGATCACGTGGGCTCTGATCCAACCCAGGCCTGCCGGGTGCTGCTCAAGCAACTTCTCCTGAGGGCAGGCCTTGCTGAGAAGAACAGAGTGCTCTGGTGGGCTTCAAAACGGTTGCTCTCCCCATTCCTCTTGCTGGAAGCGCCACGGGGTTTTCTCAGGCCTTCACTGTGAGAACCTGGGAGGGGTCCCGGAGGCAGAACTCACGGTGTGTGGGGCCTTCTGGGACATTTCATCTGAGCTTTGTCCTCTCTGAGCCTCCAGTAGTCCGTCAATTACGGTTCAAGTTCCCCTGCCAGGCCCCGGGTCCTGAGCAGGTTTCTGCAGCGGATTCCTGCTCTGGTGAGTGCTGATCCTCTGCATCTGCTTGTCTGTCTCTCCATGTTGGGGGCAGTGGTTAGTGACTTCAGTCCTCTGCTGGAGCCAAGGGGAGTTGTTGAGTTTCGCCTTGTTCAGCTTTTCCCTGTTGTTAGGCTGGGGTGGTGACTTCCAAGCATCTTACACGCCGGACCAGGAACTGGACTCCTTTTCCTTTCTGTAAAATGATGCCTGAGTGACATTTTCTCGTCCAGGGTAGAGTTCGGTGAAAACATGCGCATTCTAGTCACTGTGTCTGTTATACTCCCTCCCATTTGGAATCTTGTCTGGCTACAGTTATTTCTCCCAAAATACTTCTTAGCTGTTAACAATGTAGTTCTTTCATTTGTGGTTTTTCTTCAGTTCTACTCAGCCCCTTTTGGGTCGCTAACAAGCAGGACTCCCCGCATCTGCTGGTTGTCAGCATTCAGACGGGCACGTGTCGTTCACACGGTTGTTCCCACTGTGGTGCCAGCTGGTCCTCCTGGGAGAACGCAGCCGAGTGCGGACGCACGTTGGCTGATGGCGTCAGGAACGAGTTTACGGAGAGTGTTGGGTTATAGAACGGCGGCTCAAAGCTGGATTTATAAATCTGGCTTTCTCTAAGTATGTTACAGTAGGTCTGCCTACACTGGAGCTCACGTGCATTTGGGGGCCCACTCCCATTACCTAGCATGACGACTTTCAGCCTTGCCTTCCTATTGGAATCACTGGGTGTATTTCTATTTACTTGGTTCAAGTAGGTCCTGGCGTCAGTATTTCTAAAAGTTTCTTGAGTTTTTCTGCCCTATATCTAGGGTCGAAATCTACTGGTTTATACCAAGGGGTGGCAAACTATTTCCTTCAAGAACCAGGGAGTAAATGTCTTAGGCTTTGAAAGTCATACAGTGTCTGCTGCGACAATGCGCCTGTGCGGGAACAGCCACAGGCAAGTGGACACGGCTCTGCTCCAGTAACTCTATTTATAGCTGCCAAAGTTTTAATTCATTTAACTTTCATGTGTCATGAAATATTCTTCTTTTGAGGTTTTTCAATTATTTAACAATGTGGAACCGTTCTTGTCTCCCAGGATGTACAATAACAGGTTGCATGTGGGACCTGGCCTGCGGGCTGCGGGTGGCAGCCCTGGTAATGGTTTATCTGCTCTACTCTTCAGTCCAGTTCCATAAGAGAAAATGTTTCCTTCCCTAGGTCACGGATAACATCATTAGTGGGCCCTAGCCTTGACTACTTGTTTTAAATAAGTCTTACCAGAACATTTTAAAACATGGCAGTGCTTTTCCTTAATAGCCTTAGAAATTGGAGGAGTTGACATGCTTTTTTTCTATAAGTAACATGCATGGCCTATATGCCTTAAAGCAGTAGGAAAGGTATTGTCTCGTTAATATACAGATAGTTGCAGGATTAATTCAGCTTCCCTACAGGGCCGTCCACCCCGGGGTTTTCCATCTTTCTACTTTATTATGTTCAATATAGTTCCTGTTGCCTACTCATGGTCACAAGATGGCTGCAGCAGCCTGGGCGTCACTTGCAGACACATAACATCCAGCAAAGAGCCAAAGTGTGTCCTTTCATGTACGTATTTTTAATATTAGGCAACCTTTTTTAGAACAAGCCTCTCCTCCTGTATAGGTCTCCCCTCAGTCCCCCAAACCAAATCAGTCCCTGGTGAAGACGAGATCGCCATGATTAACCGTCACGATGTGTCAGTATATCCCCTGGTGTCAGGGGTCTGGTCTGCCTGACATAGGTGGCCTCAGGATCTGAGAGCTGAATCAGGGTTCTGTGAACAAGGGACAGGAAGAAATGGCAGTTGGGAGAGAATCAACAGAGTTCCACACAGAACTAGAGTTTTGGGATTAAAAAAAACAAACAAACCTGAAGAAAGCAGTCTGCTGAGCCTCTCATTTTTATTTATTCATTCACTCCTTTGAAAGACCACTAGGGAATTGTTCAGTGAAATTCTCCTGACAGAACTCAATAATTTTCAGTCGAATAAGTTATATATTGCTTCAGTCTTCAAATCTATTATTTCTATCAGATTACATATAAAAAGAAGTGTATCCTATTTTAGATTATTTTATTTTCCTAAAACTGTACCCTCATTGTATATGTAGCATAAAAATGTTCATATAAAAATAATGATTTAAAAAGCCACCATTTTTTGGGTTCATTTTAAACCATCAAAAGGTTGTCTTAGTTTGCATTTTGTACTTTGACAAAAGGAAAAATATTTTCCCAAGAAGTTATGTCATGGAATAAGAGGTTAAGGACCATGTGCATCACCCTGTTGCTACCTTCCCAGCCTCATGGGTATTTGATTGGTCTCCCATGTGGCAGGTGACCCACCTCCACCTCCCCAGGTGAAAATCAGAAAAGGAGATTTGTATCCAGTCCAGAATCAGCTGTGTTCATCTCACTGAGAGGCCTGACCCTCAGTTTGGGAGCATGGATGGAAAGTCCACATTCACAGTTTTCTTGAAGAACGTCAGACACCACAGAAGGTGCCGCAACCCAGGACACCACAGAAGGTGCCGCAACCCAGGACAGAGAGGCCAGGCTTCTGGTCCCAGCGCTGCCTCCTCTGAGGTATTGAACTTCGGACAAGTCACGTAGCCTCTGAACTCTAGTTTTGACACCTGTGAAACAACAGTTTGAATTCTGTGATTTATAAGGTTAGAGCTAATTGAGGTTTCTCAGGAGATCCTAAATTTGGATTTTTCCTTTCCAAAGTTAAGCTGATTCCTACTGTCCCTGCTGCGTGGTGAAGGGGCTCAGTCACGGTGGCCCCTCAGAGGAGGGGTCAGAGCGGCAGCGTCCGGCTGCAGCCGTGCTGCCTCCCAGCCCTGGGGTTCCAGCACCAGGCGTGCCCACGGCACTAAGCCAAATCCTCTCCCATGCTAGGAAGCAAGAGCCACACAAAAAAGGAGATAATTTTGGAGAACTTTATTTTTTTTTAATTAAAATGTACGCAAATGTCTGTACTTTCATATTAACAGGGAAACCTATTTTGCCATTATTTACAACATAGTTGACCAGGGCAGCTCCTTCTAGAACTCTCTAGCCATCTTGAAGCCCTCACGCAGAAGAGGGACCATGAGCTCCTGAAACACCTGTGTAGGAAGGAAAGTTTTATTTGGTGGCACAAGCAACTACCTTTGGCTTATCGGCATTTTTCTGTTGTCTTTCTCTTCTGAGCTCGTTCTTCTGCTTTCCAGTAATTTTAACGTTCTGTTGTCAGCTCACAAAGAACTTCCCTTTGTTCCACATCAGGGGTATTATACATTTCAGAAGAGCATGGTCATCTTTAGAACCACCTGTAGACATCTTCCTTAAGGAACCTGATGGGTTCCCTGGACCAGCCTTGTCCAGCCTTTCCCCATTCATCCAGCAGTCTGCTCTCGGGCCAGATGCCCTTCCCTGTCGGCCTCTCCCATGGGCTCCAGTAAGGGTGGAGAGCTGGGTTTAAATGGCTTCCAAGGGCAGTTTATACTGGCACATCCAGTCCAGGTGAGCCCTCTGCATACTGAAGGCCCGCCTCCCGGGCCTCTCTGCCAGGGGGATTCCTGGTGGCCTCCTCGTAGGAGGGTGGTAAACACTCAGAGTGGGGGGCCGCCTCCCTGGGCAGAGGAGAGTAGGGGAAGTCCTGCTCACTGCCCCAGGGTAAGCCGGGCAGGAAGTCGGTCTCCTCGCCCCCAGGTGGGTGCTCTGAGAGGTCGATGCTGAACACCTGGCCCTGGGGCCGCCGGGCCTTGCAGAGGCGGTACAGGAAGAGCAGCAGAAAGGCCAGGAAGAGCACGATGGTGGCTGGAAGGAGGATGCACAGGAAGGGCTCCACATCGTCTTTGGTGGAACTTAGCTGCTGGGTGCCCTAGAGTCAGGGAATGAAATGACATTGAGTTAGATGGCAAAAGATGTCCCCTGCATTTCTCTCATCTTTTATTCCTCCTGTCACTCAAACAAATGCCTTGTTTATTTATGCCAGTAAGCTTGAGCCTACGTGAAACAGAGTGAATTGACAAGATAAAGTATGAATTTAGAATGTCCAGAATACACATCGATGACATCCTGCAATACTGTCACTAAAGCATAGATATTAGAGTGAATTTTCAATGGTAGGTCCACCAAGCATCCTTCAAATAACTTGTACTATTTATGTATTTTATGTATTTAGAAGTAGACACATAATGTTTTATTGCCACAAAAAAGAATCATATGGCACTTAATTTCTTTAATTGTGGAACAAAATCTGACATTATGTGTTCATATCACATGTAAATAACATTTTGAATCTGATTTGATAGCCCATTCTTATAATGACTGAGATTTTAAGATTTCTTCAGTTTGTTTTTGTATTATTTGTACAATAAACATGAAAAAGTTTGAACTCTTTAAAAGGGAACAATTGCACATAAATTCTTAAGCAGCCGACAAGGTGTTGACTTTGCACTATTAGCTCAGAAGATAGTGATGAGTTCTGATAGGGTAAATACTATAATAAACGTGAAATGACAGTTCAACAGCAAGATAGAAAAATAATACAAAACATGCTGTTCCAAATTGCGACGATGTTGCTTTAAATAAAGTTACTAGAAATACTAGAAACACTAAAATATTAAAAACATTATTATATAAAGCATACAGCAACAAATGTGGATGTTCATATCCACCACTAAGAGGAAAAGAAAAAAATTAAAGCCTTATTATTGTGTTTAAAACAAACAAAATCTACTTATTTAAAATAAAACTGAGAGCTGTGGTTCTCCTGTTTTTGGAAAGCACAGTCGTTTTTCTGGTGACGACCTGTGTAAAGACTGGCTTAGCCAGTGTTGACGGTATAATCATTTTTACTCCTTAAAGAATTTTCCATTAACGGGGGTGGAGGCGTGGGGAGGGAGCAGACTGAATGTGGGCGGTGGGGGTGAGTAGGGCAGGGCGAGAGTAAAGGGGGGAAAATGGGGACAACTGTAACTGAACAACACTAAAAAAATTTTAAAAATAAATAAGAATGTTTAATTATGTGTGTTATTTTGACTGAAATTTAACTGGCATATTTAATATTGGACTGCCAGATATTTTGTCTTCAGTAAGATGTGAGTGAAGATATTTTAGATTAGAGTGCATACAAATTAAATGCTTGGTTGGGAAGCAGGCTGTCATCTTTGGGTCTGAGGGTTCTGGCTGCGAAGTCCAGTGTACCTGCTAATACCCCGTGACCGCACCATTCCCTCATGCCCTCTGAGCCTGGGTTTTGTTCTCTATGAAATGAAAATAACATATTTTTGTAAAGCGTTGGCATGAGAATTTAATGAATCAATATGTATAAAGTGGTGGGTGAATAATAGTTATTTATATATTTGTGTCTTGGTGTCTCAAATAGTCAATCTAGAAAATTAATTACTAAAAACAACCAGAAGTCATCTAGGAATTTATTGATAAGAAGTCTATAGAAATAGTGAAGGAAAAATTGGACATTCCTAAGTTTATATTTTAATAGCTATATCTTTTCAGAGAAAATATTTTAGCAACATTAATATTTTTATGTGAAAAAATATTTTTATCTGTGTGGTTTCTGAACTATGGATTCCTTCTTTTGTCTTACACATAATCCAGTTTATTATCTGAACTATTTATTTAAAATCTTTTGTGACTTAATAAGGGACTTTGACTCCAAAAGCTGTAAGAGTAGATGGACTCATAAATAATTTACTTCTTAATAACATTATTAAGAAATCAAGGTGGACTCAAAAAGCCACTTAACTGTGTTTATTTTCTCCCTCTAGATGGATCATTAAAAACTTTAAAGCTATTATCTCTTAGCACTTAAAGCAATCACTCTTCAATCTTGATAAACATGGGCCATTTCGAATGACTTTATTCTCCACCAGTTACAGGAATGACAATGGCTCTTGACCAGTCACCAGCTTCAGCATCGAAATATTCTATTACACCCTGCAGGTTCACTATGCATGAAATGTAAAGATTCTTAATGTTTCACTTAAAAGGCTTGATGTAATAAACCCTATTGTTCATGATTATGCCACTTTTGGCATTTCAATACTAGTTGCAAAAACCTGTGAAAGGAGAAGCACCACAGAGCCCTCCTGTAATCGGTACTCCTGTTGGCCGAGTTAAATTTATCCAAATACTGAGCGTCGCTGCTTAGCTAACATAGCACATCAGGGCAATATCTTGAGATAAAGAATTCTTGTTTTCTTGGAGCTGCAGGACAAATTTATGGTACCCTTAATTTACGTATTTACTGATTCATGATACATGGGTTCAAATTGTTCTACTTTTCTAAAGTGCAGAATGGATGTCTTTACTTTTTCAGTCAAATGTCCTAATTTGTTTAGTTCTTTCAAAGTGGTTTCTTAACATTTAATATATCTCTGATGTGTATATTGATACAAATGCTTTGTTGTTCAGGGACTGGGTTAAAGAAATATCTAATTAAAGGTGTAACCGCTGAAAAATCTATTGTTATGTATATATGTGTAAGTGTTTTTCAGTACAAGGTGGTTTTGCAGAACCTAATAATCTGATGAGTTGATTTTTCCAGAACACAAGAAAACAGGTTCATTTCCCTTTTTCTTATGGGATAGCTGTTATCACGCATTTCCCTGCTGAGGATAAAGTGAATTGAGTTCTATCAATATTTTTCCTCAATGCTGTCTCAGATCAAGGCTTCTTTGGTGATTTCCTAGACAGAGCGAAGCAGCTGCTGCATTTCTTAGTAGAGACAGAACCTCCTTAACCCACTGCTACCCTTTCAGAAGAGAGATGCTTGACTTCCACCGCCTCTTAGAAACAGAGAGCATTACACAGCCGGAGAGCCACGGGAGTTTATGTTGTGTGTGTAGACGTGGCTTACTGAGCAAAGAACAAACTTGTAAAACCACGGCATAACATTTTGTTGACTCCTAACTTCAGGTGTCCTTGGACATATTTGGTATACCATGTGTTCTGAGAATATATTTGAGGCAAGTTTTACTTGAATTTAACATTGTTAAAAGAATACAACTTTCAAGGTTCTTCCTTAGACCACACCGATCAGTGAAATCACAATTTTTGTGTTCCTCATGATGCCAGATGTTGCCACTAAGTTTTACGATCCTAAGCATACAGGCATTGTTGGTTTAAAAGCTGACCTACTCTGGGGAAGAAAAGTCAGAAGTCATAGGTACAGACCTGCAGCTGGGTCTCCTGAGGAGGCAGGCTTGGTTCGCTAGTTAACCACTCGTATGTGCCCCTGCCGGCGTGTCCGAACTTCCTCCAGCTGCTGCCCCACAGTCCTTGCATGCTTTCCTCCAAGCGGTGCGGTGCGCCGCACCCTTCCACCCCGCTGCCCAGATTTCAACAGCGCTGCTTGCTCTTGGCCTGGATCCAGCTTGGGTGTGCGGGGCTGCTGGCTGCTGGTAAACGCGTTTTCTAATGAGTGACAACAGGGGACAAGAGACCAACCAGAGGGACCTCTCAGGACTGACTGTATTTAAATTCAGTGCCTCTGGCTCTGCGTTGGTGGCCTTTATCGCGGTAAGGATTGGCATCAAATATCAGAATCAGAATAGATTTCAGACAGCGGAGTTCTGTGCATTAGCATTACTCCAGTGCAACGAATGGCGCAGCGAGTAGGAACTGTTTATATTTAGATGTAAACAAGACCCTCTCCCTTCCCTGCCCACATCCCTCTCCAGGGATGTGGCGAGCAAGAAAAACTATCCACGCTGAATTTCCTTTAATTATTTCTGGATTCTCTGGTACACAGGGAAGGGGTATTTGGTAGAGAAGCAAGGCTCATTAATAACATTTCAGTGAATTATTTAGATGAAAGATGCTAATGATAAAGTTGTACAGAAGCCAGACAGACAATAGCTCAGACTATTTGGCTGGAATGTTTGCTGGTTTCAAATAAAAAAAAATCAAGTTAATCACCTCCTTCTGATTATCTTGGGAACTTTATAAAATTATCTGTATCAACCTTAAAATAAGAAACTTTCAATTTGAAGCTTCACTAAGGTAACTTTGGGATGTTTAACTGTATTTGAGACAATCTGAGAAAACATTTAAGGCACGGTGGCTGAATTCTCTTTCCTTTAGGAACGTAAACTTAAGCTTCAAATATTTACCCAAACTGTTACAGCTCAGTATTGCGACCACCCATGTCCTTCCTCGAGCATCATTCCATCCAAGTGACGGCCATGATGCTGAAATAATATTTCTTAATTGGGACTTTTTTAAAAGATTTTATTTATTATTTTTTAGAGAGAGGGGAAAGGAAGGAGAAAGAGAAGGAGAGAAACATCATTGTGTGGTTATCCCTTGAGTGTTTCCGATTGGGGACCTGGCCCACAACCCAGGCATGTGCCCTGACTGGGAATTGAACCAGCAACCCTTTGATTCACAGGCCCATGCTCAATCCACTGAGCTACACCAGCCAGGGCAATTGGGACTTTTCTTAATTAGCATTCTCAACCACTGGCCCATGGAGGTCTATGCCATAGGTTTCTGGGGTGGTGAACTCCGGACTTTGCAGATACATCCAGTTTTCTTGGAGGGATCCATAGTTCTCATCACCTTTTCAGAAAACAGCTGCTCGCCCCAATACAATTTGGCACCTTGCCAAGCTTCTTATTTATGCTAAAAGTTTTCTCTGAGTTTCCCAGTGCCTTGATCAGCATCCTGTTGTAGAACTAACTCTGTTGTCATTTCACCCTTTTATTTCTTCCTGTGGAGTAAGTTGATTTTGTGCTTTTAGTTAACATTTTGCCTCGTACTATTGATGTGTCTCTGTTTTATGTCAATCAGTCCTGTATCCTCACGGGGACACACTGTGAGGTGACGAGGGCACTCTTTTCCACATGTCAGGGGCTTTGCCAATACTCTGTCCTCAACAGGGACCGTCCTTCTGCACCTCACCTACTTATTTAAATGTCTTTGAATCAGAGGTCTGGACCAGAAGCACTGAATATACATCTGTAATGTTGGCTCTCCTCCAGCACCGAATAAAAAGACAAAAATTCTTGCTTTCATGGGTATGTTTTTGGGGGCCAAGAGAGACAAATTATACAAATAAAAAATATATGTCAGAAGGCAGTTGATGCTATAGAGAAAAAGTAGAGAAGAAGTATAAAGTAAATTCCCCTCACAGGGAAAGTGATCACCAAAAGCTATCACTGCAGGGGATTGAGCAAAGAAGATAGGAGGGAAGGGTATTTCAGACTAAGGGAACAGCCAGTGCAAAGTCCCGGAGGCACTCCCATGCCTGGTAAGTTCTCAGAATGGCTAGTAGGTCAGGGTGGCTGGAACCACAAGCCAGGAAGGAAGTAGGAGATACGATTGGAGAGGGTGCGTGGGGGTGGTAGGGCAGCACAGAGGGCAAGGCTGATGGAGCGCCAGGGAGTGATGAGATCTGACTTCCACTTTAAAAGGATGACTCATGCGTCTGTGTGAAACCAAAAGAGTGATTAAGGGCAAATTCAGGGAGACCAGTTAGGGGTTTTTAATAATTCAAGGGAGAAATAACAGACCCAGAGTAGTAGCAGTAGAGTGGTGAGATTCTAGATTCTAGATATATTTTAGGGACGGAACCAAGATTTCTTAAACAGAACACGACGTAGAATGAAAAAAAGATCAAGAAGAATTCTCTTTTAGGCTTCATCAATGGAAAGGATAACTGTTGTCACTTACAAAGACGAGGAAAAACAGGAAGGGGCAGATCTTATTTTTTTAAAGATTGGGAGTTGAGTTTTGGACCTGGTAAGTTTGCAGTGAGTTCAGATACTTGAATTTAGCATTTAGTAGTGAGGACAAAACCATCGAGAATAGTTGGGACTCACTGGCAGGGAGATGGTATTTAAACTATGAGACTTAGTTTGCAATAGCATGGATGGGCCTACTAGGTTTTATTCTAAGTGAAATAAGTCAGACAGAGAAAGACGAATACCATATGTTTTCTCTTTCTTTTTTTAAAGATTTCATTTATTTATCTTTAGAGAGGGAAGGGAGGGAGAAAGAGAGAGGGAGAGAAACATCAATGTGTGGTTGCTGGGGGTCATGGCCCGCAACCCAGGCATGTACCCTGACTGAGAATCGAACCTGTGACACTTTGGTTTGCAGCCTGCGCTCAATCCACTGAGCTATGCCAGCCAGGTGATTTCTCTTATATGTGGAATCTAGAGAACAAAATAAATGAACAAACCAAACAGAAATAGACTCATAGATTCAGAGAACAAACTGACAGTTGTCAGATGAGAGCAGGTTGAGGGGTTGGGTGGAAAAGGTGAAGTACAAATTGGCAATTACAAAATACTCCCAGGGATATAAAGTACAGCATAGGGAATATAATCAATAATTTCACAATAAATATGGTTCCAGATAGGTACTAGATTTATGGGGGAAATCACTCTGTAAATTATACAAATGCCTAACCACTATGATGTACTCCAGAAACTAATATAAAATAATAGTGAATGTCAATTGTAATGGAAAAATAGAAACAAAAATTTAAAAAACAAGGAGACTTACTGAGATTGCCAAGAGAATGAGTCTCAACAGAATGGGAAGACAGTGTAAGTGGCCAGTGAAGTAGATGAGAAACCAAGAGTGCATGGTACCCAGGAATTGAAGGGAAAAAATGTTTCTAGAAGGAGGGAATGATCTCTGTCTCAAAATCTACTGTGTGATCAAGTACAGTGACAAATAAAATTTACTACTGGATTTAAGCAAATGTGGAGAAGGCGTGTCATTTATTATTTGGACAAGAGTAATTTTGGTGGCGTGGTTGGGAAAAACCCTTTCCGAGATGGTTATAAGAGAAAGGGAGAAGAATTGGAGACAGTGAATGTAAACAACTCACGTTATTTTGCTGGAAAGGGGAGAAGAGAAATGATGCCGAGTAGCTGGACAGAGGAATGGGGGTTGAGAGCTCTATACCAAACAGCATGTTCATGGATTATAGAGGGAAGAGAATGTCAGCACATGCCAACTCTCAGCCACTTCCCTTCTAGGGATTCCTCCTGAGGAAGTAATCTGATGGGTACTCAGAGATACACGTTGTTGAGAGATGGTTTAGCACATTTTAAATGTCTATCATAACAAAGAACTAGATTTTTTAAAAAATCCACAAAATAATTGCTTAATGAGTTCAGGTATTGACATATAAAGACATTATCATCTGAAAATAAATACCAGAAAGATATACATGTACCACATTGAGAGGAACTTGTCAGCAAACTGCATGTTTATTATAAACACAATAAATTTATATGTCTCTGCATATGGAAACAAGTTGATGTTAATGGTATTTTTCCTAAGTGATGGGATTATGAGCTGTTTTTTATGGGACTGCAGTTCTTTTTACTGACGAACATTGTTTTTTAAATCCTTACCTGAGGACCTTGTTATTGATCTTAGAGAGTGGGGAAGGGCTGGAGAGAGAGAGGAAGAGAAACATCAAATGTGAGAGAGAAACATCAATCAGTTGCCTGTTCTATGTGCCCTGATCAGGACCCAACTCACAACCCAGGCATGTGTCCTGACTGGGAATTGAACCCATGTCTTTTTGGTTTATAGGAGGATTCTCCAACCAATTGAGCCACACCAGCCAGGGCTGATCAACATTTTATAATTGTTCTATGAATATGTATCATATAAACAAGACATAGTAATTTCCAAGATTTGCCCATTCTTGGAGGCCCACATAAATGCCATGTTGTTACAATAATTCTGCAATTTCCTGCCCTTCACTAAAATTAGGAGTGAATCACAATTTGCCCTGGATTCCCACATCATGTTAGGTATTTCAATATTGTAGCACTTATTTGAGTCAGCTTTGACTTATTTAAAAAATAAGTTAGGGGATGGTTTGTTGACTTAGAAAAGGACTTACTACTAAAGAGTTGCATGAAATAGCGATCTCTGGCATGCCTTCCGACCTAAGGGAGCCTGGATGTGCTATAACTATGTACAGAAATGCTGTAGTATTTCAACTCCAGAAACTTACACCTGTGTAGATAACCAAAGTTTAATACGCAGAGTTTTTTTTATAAAGGCCTCCATGGTGTATCTGCATCATTTCAGTACTTTTCCCCACACATTCATTACTTCCACGGGCTTTTTAGCTGTTGGAGAGTCTCCTGTTAGTAAAACACCAGCTACAATTAGTCTAAAAGTTTGATCAGCTACTGCTAAGACTTGTCTAAGTATTTCAGAACTGAGAGAAGAGTTTTTCTGTGTTCTACTTAATTCTTCTCCCTCTCTCATTCTTTTTAAAAAATATATCAATTTGCCTTCACACATTT